TATTCACTTGCTACTGTTCTGGTGGAATAGTAACCCTTCTGAAATCACACTGCTTTACGGTGTGGGGCTGAAAACTTTTTCTGCCCATTTGTTTTAAAAAAGAAAAAAAAAGGAAAGAAGCTGGGGGAATTCTTGTGCAGTATCATCTTAGTCATCCTGTTCACGTGACCGTTAGAGGGGAGAGGAAAGTTGTGGCAGAAGAGGGGAAGCGGAAGGTGATTCTCACAGGGAGGATGGAATGAAAGGCAGTCAAGCACTTGAAAAATGTGAATTTGTCGGGAGGGCTGACTGGCACACAGTTGTAGCACAGTTGGATCCCCTTGGCTCACCTGTGAAATTCCTTGTGCGAGAGGGAGGGAAGAGATTATGAGGAGAGCTGTTTCACATACAGCTGTGCTGTGAAAATCATAGTGTGTAGCAAGTTATCTGCATTTTTTGCATAGCAGTTCTTAAACGTTAGAGTTTAGTTCAGAGGTGGATCAGACCTTGTTTGGAAAAGACTTAATTTCCTTTTTCCATTTTGGGATTATTCTTTGCAAATTCTTCTGGCTCTCTGTCTGGTCTCATTTTAAATAGAGTTCCACTACTTTCTCTGAGAGGTTAATCAAGGCTAGCTAGCACTTAGTGCAAGGGAGTCCTCCCTAATATTAAGCTCAAATTTTTATCTCCTTCCTTTCATCCTGCGTATCGTGGTTGCATTTTAGTGTTCCACCCTCAGTACCGTCCAAGTGTATGCGTACTTGCACGCATGCTGGGGAGACTAACAATCACCATATGAAGTGCAGGTTTCAGGGCTCTATACCTTCCTGAGCTTGTCTGTTGTTCTTGGGTTGCTCTGTAGGATGGCTCAGAGCCACAGTTCATTGATTTAAATTAGAAAAAAAGCCAAGTTTCATCTGCTGTGGCTCTGGCTCTCTTATGAGCTGCAGTAGTGGGTCACTTCAGAGCTGTTGGCACATGTTACTGTAACTTGCATCTGTGGCTGAATATGAGCATTTCTGTGCATGTCCTTATTTTGCCCTTCTTTTTTTGCACTACGTTCTCACTTAGCGTTGAGTGTTTATCATTATTTTTTGGAACTGGTGAATGTCCTATCATTTTCCTTTATCATTGTAAGATGGTGAAAGCCAGGCTGACTTATGAGCCTGGCTTTCGTATTCAAAGTATGCCAGTGGTGTCAGGCCAAAATATGTTGTTATAGTCACAATGGGAAAATAACTTCTAAGCACAGCTTTCTTCCTGTTCTCCTTGTATCTTGGCAGGCTAAACAGTGAGGTCGAGCATTTTCAGTGTTACATGTAAGATCTAATCAAGGCAAACTCTTCTAAAGGAGGATGAGGCAACACAAATATTCCCCCCCCAATTATAGTTAGGAAACTTTTTAAGTAAAAGAAGCCTTGGTGAAGGGAGTGTTTAACTTTAAAAGAAAGCTTGTGGATGTGGATGTGACTTGGCATCTGCTGCAGTTCAACCCAAGTTGGGTGATAAATGTTTTCTCAAGGCAGAATGACATCCATGTTGCAAGGTAAAAGAGAGAGATGAAGATTGTGTCTATCCTTTGTACTGCTCAGCTTTATCTTCCCGCTTATCTTGGGCTGTAGCTCTAGTAATCTTTTTCCTCTCCACCCTTGACTTGATGTAGTGAAACTTGCTTAACCTGCCAAAGGAACAAAACTGCTGGCTGTAACGTGGACAGGTTGCGACTCTCCTTGAGAACTCTGGAACCTGCTGCTTTGGGTTTGGATTTTTCTTTTTTCCTTAATGATCACATGCAGAGAGCTATCACAGCGGCTGTGATATTTGACCTACACAGTAAAAGTCAAAGGTGCAGTCAGGGTGTCTTCCTGTTTATAGCTCAATAGCTCGGGCTGCTTCCTTTCAAATATGCAAAACTAAAACATGAAGGGATTACCACATTCCTTGCTGTGGGTACGGATTCTGCTCTCGCTTTTGGGGCATGGCAAAAGCATGCAAGTTGCAGGAAGGAGAACTGCAAGCTGGGGGCAGCCGATGACTTTAATACCAGATGTAGCAAAGCCCTGTCACTGTGGTGCTGCACCCACATTAGCAAGACCTGCCTTACTAGCATACGTTATTTTGCAAATATGGCTGAACTACTTTTGGGACTTGCAGGAGCCAGTGTGTTTGCATGCATTAGGTCATGCCAGGCAGAGGTGCCAGGCTGGACTGGCACTAACCTGGAGGTCTCAACAGTTTGTCCTGTTGGTACACTGTGGATGTGCCATCGCACCCCTCTGAAGTAGCAGCAGCTCCATCGAAACAGGCAGAGTTCAACAGGTGGACAAATGGCAGGAGAACAGAACTCGGCCCTGAGGAAGCTGTTTTGCATGGGTAGCCACTAAACAGGAGTTCTGCATACTTGTTACTGGCAGAAAGGAGACTTTAAAAGAAAATAGGAACAAAAAGTCTCATGCTTAATGCATAGCAGGTTTTTTTGTTGTTTGTTTTCTGAGTGAATGTGATTTAGCTTGACTGCTTTTGCTCTCTAGCTCTCTGAAAAGTAACTGACCAAGTAAGACTAGCTATGCATCAGCCAAGCTGCCAGAAGGTTAAGCATGCAGGCCGTGTGTGTGTGTCTGGGGCAGGGGGACAGACAGGCACATACAAAAGCCTCTGTCTCACTTTCAAGAGCTCATCGAAACTGGAAAGCAATCTTTACCAACAAGAAAAAAAGAAAAAAAAAAGACCAACAAACCACCTTCCAGGTTTTGCTTTGCCTGTGCAATTGAATACTACGTTTTGTTGTTCCCAGATGCTTTTCGAGTTTTATCTTCAACCATTGCGGACAGAAACCCTTTGAACAAATAACTGGTTTCTTCTCCCTTATTCTTGCATGAATACTGGCAACTGCTCCTCACACTGTTGATTTATCACCCGTAGGAAGCTCTGGGATTGACTTAGCTAGCATGAGAAGTTAGATCAGTGTCATAAGAGGAAAAAAAAAGACCAAAAAAATAATAAAGACAGTGAGGCAGTACAATACCTGTAGATGCCTTCCCTGCAGATTTTGTGAGACCAGGTGGCACTGGATTCACGCAGATAAATCAGTTAGCTTCGGTGCCTATGGTGGCAGGGCTACCAGAGGGCTGAGGCAGGGGAGTGCACGGCACTGCGGAGGCTGTCAGCACTCGGACTCTTCCTGGGTCCTGTTGAACCTGGAGAGAGCCAAACCCTCGGAGCTTCAACCTTCCTTCTGCTCCCAGTCGGGTGATTGGCAGGGGAAGAGGTCAGACAAATTCAACATTTCCATGATGCTGTGCCCAGCCTGCTGGGCACACGTGCACACAGATGCTCTCTCCTCCTTGAACCTCCCACAGTGTGACTGACAGGTATCACCAGTGTCCATCCACCATTTGTGTGACCTGTGAAGGTTACTGGGGGGCTGGGGAAGCCACGTTTTTCCCCATGTGGACCTGGCCCTCTGAGCAGCCCCAGCCTTGCCAAGCGTTGAAAGCAGGCAGTAGCTGAACAGCCATTTTAATCCTGCATCGGTTGCGGTACATGTGGTTCTTTTGGCTTGAGGCTGTTCCCGCATAACACCCTCAGAAGCCTGGCTGTAGTTTGAGAAGGTAATTTAGATGCCTTTTTTTTTTTTTTAAAGGTTCAGAGATTGTGAAAGGAAATGTTAAAAAAAGTGTTGTGTGAGGAGACAGTCCTCTCAGCAGTTCCAGTAGAGTCTGCCCATGGGTCAGTTTGGTCCAGCGTGTTATCTTGAAGCATCATGCCCTTAGCATCTAAAACTAAAATGGATTTTATGTCATAACACCCAAGCAGTTACGAGGACATACGAGGCTCGTCTAGGTTACAACATTCTCTCATGTTTGAACATGATAGCGTGCAGTCAAGTTAAATGGCACGGTCCTGAGCTGAGTTGGGGGTGTGACTTCTGAAGGATGTGCCCAAATGCCATTAGCATTGTCTCCCTTGTGCTGCTTTGAAGTTAGTCATATTGACAAAGGGCAGCTGTCTCCTGCACTCCCATTTCTACCTATTAGAAGCAAAAATTTCCGTTGCATGTAGGAGCCTAAGTTTTTTTTTCAAAAGCACTATAAATTTGAAGTGAGGCTAAAGGTCCTACATTTAAAAAAAAAAAAAGAAAATTGAGCTTTTAGTCCTCAGAAAAAGAAGCACGGGAGCAATACCCCGGAACTAGACGACAGTGTCTTCCTCAGGTTGCAGATATGGAAAACGAAGGAGCAGGCGGGTCAGGTATACAGATATTCATGAGATTGCTGCCTGAGCCATTTTGTCCCTCTCCACTTTCAGTGTCTTTGTGACAAGAAATAGTTGTTTTCCTGGGGAAGCAGGTTTGTGAACATGCTTTGGCAATATGGAGTTTTGCAAGCCAAACCTGCTGCAGCTTAACAGTGTGACCAGGTATATCTTGACTTCAGAGTTGCAGTTGAAATTTGATATTGGGGTGCACCAGTGTGTTAAGGATGAGAAGGAAACAAATGTATTTAAGAAGTGTTGCTCTGACGTTGGCATATACCGATCCATTTGGGGTACTGTCTGAAACTGTAAAAGGAGAGCCAGCTGAAGATGATGGGGTGCTTTTTTTGCACTGAGAGAAGTGGATGCTAAGCCGCAGGCTTTTGTTTACTAGACTGCCACAAGACTGGGAGGCTGGGCCTGTAGATTACTATGCAGTATTAGGCAGAAGCAGGGCCTGTTGGATGATGGGGGATGGGCACGATGCTCATGGGGCCAGGCGGTAGCAGGGCAAGTGCTGTGCTGTGGGTCAGAGCACGAGGGAGAGCTGCTGGGCTCCCTGCCGTGGCCCTGCACGGTCCCAGGCACTGCAAAGGGCCTGTGCTGGATCGTGCCCTGGTTGTCTTTCAGAAGTGCAGTCCAGTTTATGGGATCTCTGCTGGTATCCTTTAAAGGCAGACCTTAGAAATGGCGTTGGCATTAAAATTTACGTGGACTTCCTGCCCCGATTTGCCTGCTGACAGTGTCTTCTTCCTCCTCCTGCTCAGGCACATGAAGATTCATGAGAAGGATCCGAACAGCACAGCAAGCACAACTCCCCCGTCGCCACTGAAGCGCAGGCGATTATCATCAAAACGGAAGTTTAGTCATGATGCTGAGATGGACAGAGAGGAGAGGACACCTGCAAAAAAGGTTCTTTACAGGGCGTGAAGCAAAAGACTTTCCTGGCTGTCTCCTAAACTGTCAGGAGTTGTGTTCATGCAGTCAGCATAGAAATATTAAAATGTCGTCTTGTTAACAGCCCTGTATATATTTTAAGATGCCATGCTTTTCCTGTGTAGCCAACACTGTTGTCTGAGATTGAAAATTAATTTCTAATTTCAGAGATTGAAAGAATTCAATTACTTTTAATTCTTTATTGTTTAAATTTTTGGGTTTGCTTGTGATTTATATTAGATAATTGATGTGGGATGACAACAGAATGGACTATTCTTTTGCTACTGCAGGTTTTCCCCTAGTTTTTTTTTCTCCCGCTTACTTCATAGTAGACTTGCGGGATAGTGATTTGAACTTTTAAATGAACAGTGTTTACTTCAAAAGCAGCAACAGCTTAAGTCTGTCTTTGTCTTGATCTGGAGAAAAAAAAAAATCTGTAGTACATTTCCCTTTCACAGTAGCATAATCCTGCATTATTGGAGTTGCAAGAGCAACCGGAAAATATTTATTTGAAGGCTAGACATTTCCATTAGGGTTTTGTTTATGAAATATTTTAGTGCATTTCAGTCATTTATTCAAAATGTATGGTGGCTGCCAAACTTAACTCGACCCCTTCCACTTACTATCTCTAAATGGCAAGCTAGTAGCAGTTCCATTTAGCTCAGTATCCCTTGTTTCTGTGCATGCTTTTCTCCCTGTAAT